GGTTAGGCACGGGGCTGCTACTATCTGCAAGGTTGGCAGTTCAAGCCCTCTAGCTACTTTGTGAGAGAAAAATGAGGCTGTTTGCTTCCATAAAGATTTCAGGTCTCATAAACCCTGCACAGGGTCATTCTGAATCAGAAACAACTTAATGGTAGTGGGTTTTTTATTTAGCCCTTAATAGGTAAGGAGACCTGGTGGCATTGTAGTTAACCACTCAGCTGTTAACCACAAGGTCAGCAGTTTGAACCCACCAGCCACTCTGCAGGAAGGTTGAGAACACCACTGTTTCAGAGGAATGCGGCTTGCAGATGTCTCCTTAACTGACGTCTCCCCAGTTCAACCCCAATCACATTTTCCTGGCCCTGTTCTTGCTTGCTTCCCACCATCAATCCTTCTGGAGGGTGCCAGAGTCCATTTTATAAGGCTCCAATCGCATCATGTTACTCACTTGCTGAAAAACTGTCCTTCTAAACAGACTAAATCCCTAACTTTTCCCATCAGCCCCTGGTACAACTCTGCACACTCCGCCTGAAGCACCAAATGGGAACTTAATGGCCGCACACATTCATGCCAAAGCCTCTGCTCATGTTCTCTCTGCTGGAAATGACCTTCTCCCCGTGGAACTTGCTCCTCTGCAAAAAGCCAACTGCAACTTGAAGGTCTCCAGTGAACGGCATTTCCTCTGTAAAACTCACTGCCATCCAGTTGATGCGAAATCACAGCAGCCTTGCAGGACAGGGAAGATCCACCTCTGTGAGTTTCTGAGACTGTAAGTCTTCACGGGAGGAGAAAGCCCCTTATTTCTTCCAAGAAGCAGAGGGTAGCTGGTGGTTTGAATTGCTGACCTTGCAAGCCCAATTTGTAACCACAACTAAAGTCATCCCCAAATTCTGCCAACTCCACCACACCCACACACAAAATCTAACTCTAGCGCTCCAAGATCTGCATTCCCATTATGTGTTCTTTTATTCCACTTCTGCATTATAAACGTTACTTGTTTTGTGTTTGTCTCATACAGGACAAAGCCTGTGCCTTATTTCAAACTGTTAACATTCAAACCATAAAGAAACAACGTAGCAAGCTGAACACTGTTTTACTAGGTAGAAAATACTCTTTAGAAAGTCTGAGGGGAAATGGAATGAAAAGATATGGAATTTTCTAATCAACTTTTTGAAGCCTCCTCATATAAGAGGGCAGGTAAGTCCAAAAGCAAATAGAATTTCAAGAAATAATAGTAGTATGTGTATATATATATGCATAATGAGCTGTGATACAAAATAGCTTTCTATTCGTTGTGGTGAAGTGTATCTTAAAAACTCTGTCTGATTTAACTTTGTATCCCCAGTGCACTCTGCCCGACACGGCAAGGTCTTTAGGAGTGGTCACTGAAGTAAAATCAGCAGATGTCTTTTAATTTGTTCCCATAATCACATCACTTCTGGTCCTTCTGATAGCCATCATTAACTTCCTTGCTTTAAAACTCAGAATCATTTTCACAAATGATTTAAATCTTTTGAACCAGTCTTCTTAACCATCTAACCCTGCTAACTCTGCCTTCCTAACTTTCACTCTCCTAAAAAGAATGTGGAGATGCCAGTAACAAAGTAACAAATGAGGCAGGCAACATTACAGCAGAACTAACTGAGATACAAAGGACTACAATAGAGCATTTATGAACTACGTCAACAAATTTGGAAACTTGGGACACTTGTCTAGAAACATCCTACTTACCTAAACTAACAAACTGCAGTCGAGAATCTGAGCAGATCCTAACAAGAGAAGAAACTAATGAGCTCTTGATGATTAAGACGAAACATTTTAATCCCACCAACCTAAAAGCCCTGGCCCAGATGGTTTCCCTAGAGAATTCTACCAAACATTCAAGAAGAATTAACCCTAATCCTACTCAAATTATTCTAGAGAGGGAATACTCCCAAATTCATACAAAGCCAGCAGAGCTCTGCTACCAAAACTAGGCAAATACATCACTAAAAAAGAAAATTATAGACCAACACTCTTCATGAATCTCTCCCTCATTGTCATAAGCAATGCTGATTTATAGCGACCCCTGTGGGTTTCAAAGACGGGATCTGCAATATGAAGATACAAGTACATGGGGAAGAAAAAGAAAACCTAACATCTTTTTCTGATAAAATCTCTTAGTAAATCAGGTATTGCATTGGGTAAATCTTTAAAGTATTGGAACATGGATGAACCTGGAGGACGACGTTATGCACACGAGCAAAATAAGCCAATCACAGAAGGTCAAATGTTGTATGACACCATTATTATAAAGAGTCAAGAAATAATTTACCCAGAGAAAGCAGCATTCTTTGATACCAGGGATGGGGACTGTTTAGGAGGGGAAATCACGAACTAGACAGCAGACATGTGCTAACTTTGGTGAAGGGTGAAACTATACAATATGTGGGAAGCCAGCACAGCATAACCAAGACAAAGGAAGCTTCTGAAAAGGAAACACGAGTGAAAAGCAATAACGAAATACTACTGCTTAACAGCAACACCAATAATAAACAATAATGCATACACAAGTAGACGCACAGGGGTGGGAGGGCATACGGGGACCATCCACTTGCACATACATGGCTAGCAGCAGCATTCCTACAGACTTATTTGCAGATATAAAGAGATAGATATACACTCATACCCATGTATATAAAAGAGCACACCAGGAGCACAGTCAGGAAACCTCTTAGTCACAGCCAAATGCCTCCCCAGGACTGAGATCATGGACTGGAGAGCTAAGACCAATCTCAAAAGTAAGTGGTGACTGGACCTTTGGAACCTTTGGGTTCTGGACCACATGAACCTCTCTACTAACCTGAGACCACCAGAACTAGATGGTGCCCACCTACAACCACCGACAGCTCGGAACAAAAATCACAATAGAAGGTACTAGATAAAGTGAGAGAGAAAAGGAGAACAAAATTCAAATTTATAAAAATGCCCAGACTTGCTGATCTGCTAGAGGCCAGTGGAACTCCTGAGACAGTGGCCCTTAAACACCTTTCTAACTTGGAACTGAAGCCACTCCCAGAGATCACGTGTCAGTCATATCAAAGGCCTATAAAGGATAGTCTCAGAACAGAACAAAGAAGGCAGCAAGGGGCAAGAAAACGGGGGGAAACAGAAACAAGGAACTCACGGTGTTAACAGAAACTGACTGCAACCAAAGTCACAGAACAATCTGTATCAAATGCCAAATTGGAAACTCCTCTGCTCTGGCCTAAACCATAATTAATTTTTTTTTTCTTTTCAGGAAGAAAAAAAAATCTTGTTATCTCTTTCCAGGTTTTAGCCTGTCACCTTTCCTTTAATAATTAATTTTTTTTTTCTTTTCAGGAAGAAAAAAACATCTTGTTATCTCTTTCCAGGTTTTAGCCTGTCACCTTTCCTTTAATTATAACTTTTTTGTGTATCAGTCATTTGCCTCCATTTCAACCCTCATATCTTACTAAACCCAATGGAGTCCGCCTTCGGTCAAAGCTACTGAGGATCCTCAAGCTGCCTAAGGGAAAAATAGGGTGGCACTTTCTCAGTTTTCAGCCTCACCGTTCTACAATGAACTTCTATCACTTCCACACCAAACTGTATCCTCCTCTACATCTATGTTGATAAATAGTGGAAAGGTACTTAAATCGATGCCTAGCTCATATTAAGGACTATGACTGTCAGCTAATTGTAGCTACTATTACATATATCTGATGATTATTCCTCCTCTCACTCCCTACATAGTTAATTAACAAAAATTGGGTACTAAGCAATTTTTTCTTCTGCCCGTTCACTTTATCCCTTGGCTATGTCTTCTACTCAGAAAGCTACCATTAGTCCACCTGTAAGATGATTTCATATGGGCCTCCTGAACCCCAGATCCACAATTTTAAGTGTCACTCGGGAGGCAAAGAAAGCTATCTTTCCCACAGCCCTTAAACATTGTTAACACCATAACTAACTAGCTCCCATCATTTTTTACTTAACTTTCTACCTCACCACCATCACTACTACCACCACAAGTAGTTAATTCTTTTTTTTTTAAG